TATATTTCTATAATTTAATAATTGCCAAAGTGTGTACTATCTTTAAATCCTCGCTTAATGCAACAACAAATAAATAATTTTTCATTTCAAAGCCAGCATAAATTCTATATTATTACTATCCTGAATGGAAAATTCCATCTTCCACAACAAAAACAACTCTTCTTGCCGCGTGGTTTACCTTTTATGGAACCAGCTGTTATTTCCGGTATTTCCAAACCGTTAGGAGGTCTTTAAGAGGAGATCGTACGATTATCTAAAAGACTGCTAACGCACGTGTAAACTGGTGTTGCAGGTGTCGGTAAACACTTAATAAGTCTGCTTTGCCTCCTCTCCATAAAAAAAACATATACCATGTTGGAATATCAGTGGTTGGGGACATCGTGCCGGTTAATCTGATTCTGGTCAAGGATCCTTTAGAATGGGGTAGACCTTCCACCAGCTACAATATTTGGAGTGGTGAGGAAAACCGGTCACAATGATTTTATATGTAATAAATATTAAGATACAGATAGTATAGTATATGACGTGTATATTAGCTCCGCTAGATAACTAATTATATGAGAGGGTGAGCCCTAAGAACCTAACTATCCCAAAGTCCTAAAGATGTACCCTAACACATAAATAATTAAAAAGTGTATATTTAAATATATAAATAAAACGCTGCACAGTTGCCAGTTCTTTTCTTTCGTTCTACGCCCTTGATTTGAGAGCTGGCGGTAAATGTAAAATCACAAGACGAATCACAAGTGTACATTGTGTTACCTACGTGAATAAATGATTTTTGATTTTTGAATTTTAAGGTAGATGCCCTACGGGTAGAATCAAAGGTCGCGGTATTATCTCAAAGCTATCGGGCATCACCAGGATAATAAAAGGCTTCTCTGCGCCACTTTGAGAGGAAGCGAGAAATCAATAAGACAGAGGAGCATTAATTTAAAGAATCTCTCTAATTGCTTTCTTTGGTTAAAATCAAGGTCTAAGTATATTTCATATAACGACATGTAGACATGTGTTTATTATACACCAATAGAATAAACTAGATATTATCTAAATACTATATAAGTTAAGCAACGATAAAACTATCATTATTTGAATCTAAAACTAAAAATCTTCAAAAATTAAATGTAATAATTAAAATATATTATTAAAAGGAGTCCCTTTAGGTAAGGTTACGAAGATACTGGCAGCGTTTCTTGATAGTAGTCGTAGGATAGTAGTTGTGTTGCTCTAACGGCTTCAGCGTAATACACGAAATAACTGGGTGGGCGATTTCGATACAGTGCCAATTACAGTATCACCGGCAGACGGCTCGCGTTCCATTGCACAGACATGAATGGCCACGGCAGCGAAGTTAATAAACTGAATAGGTTAGTAAGCAGTTTCAAATATTTAAAACAGTGTGGTATTCAAAGACGTCTTACCGCATCTTATACTCCACACCAAAACGGAGTTACGGAACGTAGCATTGATGATGCAAATCCACCATAACTTGGGGGCGAAGCAGTGGCTACTTCTAGTTATTTGGCAAATAGAAACAATGCAATTCAAAATCAAACACCATTCGAACGATGGGTTCGTAGAAACTGTGTAAATTCATCTATCCAATTTTTTTAATCGTCTTTACGACAAACAACAAATTGTATGAAGTAAATATACATGGATTTTCACATAGTGGTGGTGCGTGGCAAAAGCTGCCTTAAAAAGCGCTCAGTTGTGGAACGACGGACGTCGGGTGATACGGGTGCAATTTCGTGATCTGTCTCGACGTCCGATGATGAAACTTATTCTAAGTTTATCGTGTATAGAGAGGAATGTCTTAAGATTATACTTACGGTGGTGAATCCCCATCCAGATAATTTACACAAGTCTCCTGGTTTGGGGTCTTTCGTGGCTATTTCGATAGCTTTAACTTTGTCTGTAAATTTAATCTTCTCTTTGGTTCTCAACAGACCAATATCATTAACATTCGGTTTTGCGGTATATTTTTTATGATTAACAATTTTGTCAATTTTGTATCTGGCACCTCCAGACCTTCCTTTCGCACTAGAGCGTAACACAAGACGGCAACGTCTCACGTAAAAATGTTTAATGTATTTTACTATACACAATATGTTTTTGTTGTAAAAAAAAGAATGAACATTATTGATCTTAAACGGCTTAACAGATTTAATTCCAATTTTGAAAACCGTTTAAGATCGTTGAGCTCTTGAGCGTTGTCATGGCAACGTGATTACCTACGAAACAGATTGTATATTCACTAATTTTTTTGCACAAACAAGAATTCCATAAATTCCAATTCCAACTACATTTTCAAAATTTGAGTGTTCTCCTTGTTGCCCTCAAAGGCCGGTAACGCAACCACTAAAAATGGCAGTCTTTGAGCTACGATGACTGCTCTTTTAGGGCGTCCCGCATGCTCGTTTGCCCTATTATATAAAAAAAATACATTAATTCAAAATGGATGAATTTTGTTCCCTATGTAGACTCTTGCGTCTAGGGGTCAAGTGCACAGCTACATGAAGATTTTGTTAGAGCGCGGCCACACGATGCGGTGCGGCGCCGGAGCGGTGCCGCAACGTCATCTTACGTACAAATTACTATACCATGTCACACGACGCGATGCGCCGCGCCGCGTGGTGTCGCACCGCAAGCGCGCCGGACCTGCGAAACGAGGCGGGGAGGGGTAAAATATATTGCCACAAGACCTAAAGAGGTTGTAGCGCCACTGATTTATTTATTATTCTTTTTGCACTTTTTGTTGTGGTCTCAGAATATATAGTATTAACTAAATTTTTATTTTATTACAATTTACAACACCACGTACATTTTAACTTGATAGCAAACATGGTTGCAGTGTAGTACAGTAGGAAAAATCGGAAAAGTGAGAAAACACTTTCATATTGGCGGAATACTTGATTTGAAATTGACTTGATATAATCGCGATTTTATCGTAAAAACAAATTTCAGACATTATAGGCTCAAATAATATGTTCAACAATGAAAAACTAATAGGAAGAGAGAACGTGGAGAACCACGTGGCAATTCAGTATGAAGCTATGATTGCAGCATGAGAACCTATGGTGTTGTATCGAGCTAGCTGACAACAATCCATTTGATACCAGCAAGGACATAAATGCCAAGGCTTAGTTAGTATTGCTTCTTAACCCTCAAAAAATATAATAATACGTCCATGTATAGGAGTGCACAACTGCCAAAGTAGTTTCATACCTTTTGATGTAAAACTAATATATTAGGATTTTATGTAAAAATTGTTGAATACGAAAAATATTTATTTGATGTTTCAATACAATCCTTTGATTAACTAAGTATCGTTTCCAGTTCATATTGAGAAGGAAGAATCGAAATTGTTTTCACAATACGAATTCTTGATTTTTCATCGTTTTGATTTAGAACATACCGGGTATATTGACCAAAATCAAAGGTTGAATTTTATTGTATTTACTATTAGGTACTTAATAACAACGTCATCGGCTGAATCGATTATCGGTTTTACGATCAAATATGAGTAGTCACTTCATGTTGTTATAACAGATTTTGACTGTATGCCTTAATGGGCAAGATTCACGAACTGTTGGTACACCGAGCAGGTATTAAAATAAGGTGAAATTTGATAAATTGTATATTTTGACCTCAGGTTCCCAACCAAAGATGGAATAATAAAATTGTAACAACTTATTTCATCATACAAAATTCATTCTTAAAACTTCAGCCAATTTCATTTCTTCCAGTTAACGTTAACCGCTCTAATTGTACCCTCGGGAAGAGATCCACAATCGCTGGAACAATCCAATCGAAACTAAATTGATGCATCTTAATAAAATCTAATGTCGTTTGACAGTTTCGATAAACAGACAAATATTATTTTTACATTCGGTCGAGTATTTCCTCTCTCAATTAGTACATCTAGAAGGCCGTTGTCGAGCCTTTGTCCTAGCGAATACCTATTCTTCGTCATCATCATCTTCTATTTTATGTTTTAGCCGATGTCGCAACATTTTACTTTCATCGGTACATTTGGTTGTTATAGCCTTTCTGAAAAGAAAATAGTATATTAGTAGCTGCACTTATAATCATAACAAGACAGTGAAATTAACAGAAACTGCATATAATTTGATTAAACTTAGCTAAATCATATAAATATTGGAACATACCCTCTGTTCGCTAAATAATAATTCTTGCTACAATTCTACGCAAACATTCGCTAATCAACTATGAACAACATCTCAAAGATAATAAGCGTAGAAAAGGCAGCGTGCACTACAAAACCGTTTCGCACAAGTTTTGCCCAAAAATTCTTCTTTTTTTGGGGGATTACTTATATAATATGGCCAACAATTCCCTCTCCATATATCCCCTCAACTACTGGCTGGACATCAACTATGTGGATATAGAAAAAATGATAACCATAATAATATATTATACAGTCAAAACTGTTTACGACGACATCGTTTAGAACAACATATACTGTTCGGGGTTGGGATAAATTATTAAGATATTTAAAGGGATAATTATTTATTTTATGAGCAATGGACTAAACTAGTGGGGTGAGATGAGATAAAGAGTCGCGCCCGGTACGAGGTCTAAATGCGAACTAACTTAAGTGAATATAATAAGATATAATGAAAATGAACACACAAGCAAATCATAATGCATGGTGTCATTTACATTGCAAATACCTGTACGGTTGTAAATCGTACATGTTCCCAGGGGAGGAAAAGATGAGGGTTAGTAAAATGAAGGATGAACTTAAGACTAACAAGGTGATACACAAATTTTAATATTAAATGTTTATATTATGATTAGTTGTGGGTGAGAAAATGAAGTACATTTATCATATTAACTACAAAGATTTACTTATATTTAATTCCGGAAGGGAAAACACACGAAAGATCGGCGAGGAAGCTCGATCTTGTTTATTAACACTTTTATTATTATGATAATGCCTTTTTTCCCTAACTTCACACTCACTCACAACACTTTCACTTTTCACGGGGTGTGTAACTATGCTGAGCTTGACACGAACTAAGTATTGAAAGGAAAAATAATGTTAAAGATAAAACCATAGCACAGAAAGAGATGCCGCTGAACTTCTTCGCTTTAGGCTTCTTTTCATCGACCTTGTCATGGTTTAAAGATTGATTATTATTATTTGTAGGTAGAAGAGATAACTTAACGACTGGGCGTTTAATAAAACCGTTCTTGGTTTTAAGAGTGACGACTCTCACCAGCCCGTCACTTCCGGGATGTAGCTCTACAACACGCCCTAAAGCCCATTTACCGGGCGGAAGATTTTCATCTTTTATGATGACTATATCGTTTAAGTTGAGATCTTTTTGAGGTCGTTTCCACTTGGATCTAATAGATAATTGTGAGAGATATTCATTCTTCCATTTGACCCAAATATCATGATAGATTTTCTGAGTTAAGTGCCATCGAGTTCTAAGATCATTTTCTGTCTCAAAAATGGTCAAGTTAGGACCGCTTGCTAGGAAATGTGCCGGTGTTAAAAAGTCTAGGTTCTCGGGGTCTTCTGTCAACGGACAAAGAGGTCGAGAGTTCAAACAAGCCTCGAGCTGAGATAAAAGAGTTGAATATTCTTCAAAGGTGAGTTTTTGTTCGCCAACCACTCGTTTAAGATGATGTTTAAGGCTTTTTACAGCAGCCTCCCAAAGTCCACCCGCTGAAGGCCACGATGGGGCGTTGAAATGCCAATCTATATTCATTTCTGATATAACTGAGGTACACTCAGGACTTGATAGGATTTCTGAGATCTGTGTATACTCTTGTCGTAGTATATTGTTGGCACCTATGAAGTTTGTTCCTTGATCGCTAAAAATATGTCGCGGAACCCCTCTTCTAGCTGACATTCGCCGCAACGCAGAGATAAAAGCTGTCGTGGTAAGATCTGATACTAATTCTAAATGCACAGCTTTTGTGACCATACATATAAAGACTGCTACGTATCCTTTTGTTGTTTTGATTCCACGGCCTTTGTTTGCCTTGACTAAAACATGTCCCGTAAAATCAATCCCCGTACTATGAAAAGGTCGGCTAGGTGTAACTCGAGAAGGGGGTAAATCGCCCATAAGTTGATGTTGTAATGTAGGATCAACTTTTTTACATTTTACACATGATCGTAATCTCTTTTTGACAGCACTATTTCCTCTAAGGATCCAGTATTTTTGTCGTATAAAACCTGCGGTTAATTTAGCCCCACCATGAAATACAAGTTCGTGGGCTTCGTCTATAATAAGCTCAGCTAACTTCGATTGTGATGGAATAATTATAGGATATTTCATTTCAGGATCGATGTTTGAGTTTTTCAGCCGTCCACCGACTCGGAGCAATCCAGTTGAGTCTAAAACGGGGTTAAGATTTAGTATTTGACTCTTTTTATTTAAAACCTTAGCGACAGAAAGTTCAGATATTTCCTGAAAAAAATATTCTTTCTGAACATGTCTAATTATCATTTCTCTCGCATTACTCAAATCTTTAAAACTAAGATAATTATTTTCAAACGTTTTTTTATAAATAATCTTGTCGATAAATTTTATAATATAGGCTAAAATTCTTATAAGTTTTCTAAAAGAGCTATATTTATCCAATAACTGTTGTATTATATAATTGGGATTGGTGGTTATTGTATTAACCAGGTTTTTCTTTTTCAGATCTATATCTGTAGTATATGTAGGCTTTTCAGAATGCTCTTTGAGATTACATTGAGATAACCATTCAGGCCCGTGCCACCAAAGCGAAAGACTCGTCAAGTGAAGAGCTGTCGACCCACGACTTGCACAATCAGCCGGGTTTTCCGAGGAATTAATATATCTCCACATATTTTTTGGGATTATTTCACAAATCATTCTGACACGGTTTGCAACAAAGGGTTTCCATTTTTCGGGTTCGCCATTTATCCATCCTAGGACTGCCATAGAATCGACCCAACCGTAAACATGCACTCTGAAATTAGATAGGGATTCGACAATATTTTTCATTAATTTAGCTAACAACAAAGCTCCGCAAAGTTCCAAACGCGGTATGGATAAGGTCTTTTTTATAGGAACTACTTTGGATGTTGCCGCAACAATGGTGACATATTGTGTTGTATCTTTTCTTCGTATTCTACAATAAACAACACATGCGTAAGCTTTTGTACTAGCATCGCAAAAACCATGGAGCTCCACTATGTCATTTTCCTGTGTTTGTAACCATCGAGGTATTTTAAATTGCGATATATAGGATATGTCGACTTTTATTTTAGTCCATTCTAAGACTAATTTATGAGGTATCGGCTGATCCCATCCTAGATCAGACTTCCAAGTTTCTTGAAATAAAATTTTAAGTTTTGTAGTGACTGGTACTAGCCAGCCCAAAGGGTCATAAATTTTTGAGATTTCGGACAATAATTGTCGCTTAGTAGGGGTAATATTTGGGATATAATTAATAGGATAAAAGATAAATTCGTCGGTATTGGGATTCCAACGAAGGCCTAAAGTTTTAGTTGACTCCTGGTGCTTAAAGTCGAATTCTTTTTCGGAATCGTTCATGTCTTCTAAAAGGAGAGGTAAGTTTGAACGCCATTTTCTAAGATTGAAACCTCCAGATTTAAGTAGTTTAATTAAATCGTTCTTCAGCTCTATTGCTGTTTGTGCAGAGTGAGTCCCATGCAACAGATCGTCCATGTAAAATGAGCTTTCTAACACAGCAGGTGCGATACTGGAAGGATAATTTGAACGTTCATCGATTGCAAGTCTTTTCAGGATCATCATGGCCAAGAAAGGTGCGGCCTTAGTTCCATAAGTTACAGTGGCTAGCTGAAATTCACCTAAGGGTTGGGATTGATCATCTCTCCAAATAATCTTCTGGAATTTTTGATGTTCTGAATGAAGCCAAATATTGCGAAACATTTTCTCTATGTCGGTTGTAAAACCATATTTAAATTGTCGCCATTTTAAGATTAGTGTTTGAAGGTCTTGTTGTAGATTTGGCCCCCTACAACATTAAGATCATTGAGGCTAAATCCACTCGAAGTTTTCGAAGAAGCATTAAAAACAACTCGCAATTTCGTAGTTGATGATTCCGCTCGTTGTACACAGTTGTGCGATAAGTAGCAACTCGACTCTACGTCGGCGCGTGACACAACGGGTATCATGTGTCCGAGCTCTTTGTACTCCGATATAAATAATTTATAATCACGAGCTAAATAAGGTTGTTTAATTAGTTTATTTTCCAATTGAATAAATTGAGCGATAGACTTTGACTTCGATTCGCCCAATTTTTCCTCGAGATTTTCTTTAAAAGGTATTTTCACAACGTAACTGCCGTCGTCACGTCTTGAGGTTGTATTCTGAAAAAACTCTATACAATTTTGATCTTCCTGTGACATATTTAAGGGTTCATGAATATCTTCCACTTCCCAAAACCTTTGGATATCGTTATTAAGGATTATATTACACTGATAGGTTTTATAATTACCGGTTATTATCCATCCCAACTGCGTTTGTTGCGCAATCGGAAACCTTTCTTGAAATCTACAAATACCGTCCAAGATAATATCAGAATAAACATCAGCGCCGAATAATATATCAATAGGGCTACTTTTATAAAATTCTGAATCAGCTAATTTTATATGATTAAGCTCAGGCCAATTTGGTTTTGGCAGGGTATAGCTCGGTAAGTTCCTTACAAGTTTTTTCATAATAAATACATCCGTGTTAAAGGTATAATCATTGACTATCGATAAACACTTGATAGAGATTTTGCCCTTGCAATTGTTTTCTGTATTTCCTATCCCAGAAATGTAACCATTACATTTTTGTCGAGGTATTTTTAATAATTGAGCAGCATTTTCACTGATAATTGAGATTTGTGAGCCCTGATCTAAAAGAGCTCTCATATTTTTATAAGATCCATCCGCTGCCTGTATCTTAATAATGACAGTGGCAAGTAATATTTCGGCAGGGTCACTTGGAAGAGATACTAATGTGTTAATTTCTTGTTGTTGAGGTAAATGTTTCACAACCCGGGGCACGTGTAACCTAGATCGTGAAACGTCCGGTGTCATATTATCTTTTGTAAAACATTCATGTAAAATTGTATTATGATTTTTATTACATTCCTTGCACATTAATTGCGAAAGGCATTTTTTACCTTCATGATAATGTAAACAGTTGATACAAAGGTTCAATTTTGCAATAGCATTTCTTCGTGCGATAGGCTGCATATTTAATAATTTTTGGCATAAATGTATACGATGATCGCTTGAATTACACACCGGACACAGCTTGCGTTTTTCAATAATTTTATTACTGGAATGTGTCGGTTGCGAAATAACCTGATTTGTAGAATAAGTATACTTAGGATTATTATAACTTTGTCTAAAGTTATGATTAAAATTTTTCGAAGATGATGATTGATTATTTAAATTTTTTGAAGGTTTATATTGATTGAAGTTATGATATGACACTTTTGGGGTGTGATTTTCTTGCTTCTTCCGTGAAGTTTCTAGGGTCATAAACTTAGTTTCTAAAAACTGCAAAAAATCTTGTAATACGGGTAATTCTCTCGGCGATTTCAAAGACTGTATATATTCATTGTACGTGTCTGCGTCTAACTTCTGAGACAATATACATACAAGGAAGGGATCCCAGGAAGAAACATTAATTCCAAGATTTTCTATCGCATTTATACTCTCGTTTGTAACATCGTGAATGCGTTTGATATGATTATACGACTGGTATTGAATATTAGGAATATTTAAGAGATTGTTAAGGTGAGATGTAAAGATTAGACGCTTATTATCATAGCGATGACTGAGAATATTCCAGCTAATGAGATAATTATCTGAGCTTACCTGGAGATGTTGAATCAACTTCTCAGGTTCACCCTTAACCTTACTTTTGAGAAATTGTAATTTCTGCGCATTTGAAAGAGATGGGTTACTATGAATAGTTTCCGTAAACAGATCTTTGAAGGAAACCCATTGGTTATAATTTCCCTCGAAGGTTGGTAACTCCATTTTAGGGGTTGTTTTCTCGATGTGTGATACCGACCACATCTTTTTATTGATATCCTTCTTAACTTTAATGTAATATTTTTCGTAATTTGTAAATTGCTCTTCATATTCTCGGTTGGAACCACAAAGTTCATTGTCCAACTCCCAATGTAAGCTATCAATTGCAGTCCAACGGACTTGCAAGGTCTTTAGGATGTCTTCTAACTCCCACTTTTCCGAGATAAGGTCAAGTTCTATACTCGAGGCAGTTCTTAGAAAAGCTTTAAAATTTGTAGTTTGTTTTCTCATGAGCTCTTCTGTTTTACTCATATTAGAGTTATTTTTGAGAGATATTTCCTGAGATTCATTGGAGGTCGATGCGTTAGAGGTAGACGGGGCTTGAAACGTTGGAGGTTGTAATTCAGGGGATTTTGTAATGCTTGCCAAAGGCTTATAATTTCTTAAAGTTGTCTTAATATTACCATATTTTTTCTTAATCTGCTCGTATTTATTAAAAGTAAAATATTCATGAGACTGATCACTAAAAGATAAAAGTGTCATATGGTTATTATGAATATCTGTAAAATATTGTTCTAACGTTTCTAAACGACGACGTATATAATCGGGAGTCTTTCGCTCCGCTCCATCCTTCTTAAAGTTGATATAAAGCTTATCCACTGCGTCCACCAACTGCTGTTGGGTAGCTAAAATATCTTCCATTGTGGACATAATTAATGATTATCAGAGATAACAATATAACCTTACTTGTTCAGCTGATAAGTTGCTCAAGATATCCTCGCAATACCTGCAAGGTTGTACTGAATCCGAGATGTAGTGTGCCTTCCTGAGGCACCGAAGTCACGAGGTAAAGAGATGTAGTGCCTTCCTAGGGCACCGAGGTCACGAAGTGAAGAGATGTAGTGTGCCTTCCTAAGGCACCGTGGTCACGAGGTAAAGAGATGTAGTGCTTTCCTAAGGCACCGAGGTCACGAGGTGAAGAGATGTAGTGTGCCTTCCTAAGGCACCGAGGTCACGAGGTGAAGAGATGTAGTGTGCCTTCCTAAGGCACCGAGGTCACGAGGTAAAGAGATGTAGTGCTTTCCTAGGGCACCGAGGTTACGAGGTGAAGAGATGTAGTGCTTTCCTAGGGCACCGAGGTTACGAGGTGAAGAGATGTAGTGCCTTCCTAAGGCACCGAGGTCACGAAGTGAAGAGATGTAGTGCCTTCCTAATGCACCGAGGTCACGAGGTAAAGAAATGTAGTGCTTTCCTAGGGCACCGAGGTTACGAGGTGAAGAGATGTAGTGCCTTCCTAAGGCACCGAGGTCACGAGGTGTACAAATGTAGAGGTATATTGCCTTTCTTAGGCAATGTGATTAGGATAAAAGAGGTGTATCCATAAATCGTAGCTCTAGATGTATTCTTTTGATACGCAGGTATCAGTATAACACACACACTAAGCAAAACAATATTGCGAAAGCACACGCGTCCTGATCCTGCCAAAAATACGACTAATGGCTCGAAGGACCAATGTTCGGGGTTGGGATAAATTATTAAGATATTTAAAGGGATAATTATTTATTTTATGAGCAATGGACTAAACTAGTGGGGTGAGATGAGATAAAGAGTCGCGCCCGGTACGAGGTCTAAATGCGAACTAACTTAAGTGAATATAATAAGATATAATGAAAATGAACACACAAGCAAATCATATTGCATGGTGTCATTTACATTGCAAATACCTGTACGGTTGTAAATCGTACATATACAGACCAAAATCCAAGGTCCCGGCTATATTCTATTGCGTTAGGTATAAATACCGGCAAACTTCTTGAGCTATAAACAAGGAAATGGGGGAAAGTTTGCGCAGCGCGGGACACAAACGTCAACTGATTTACCAGCGCGGTCGACACGTCACTCTCCCGCCGGCGCGTCACCTTCAACATCATCAGACACACACAAGCATTTCCCTCAATAGAAGAAAGAACATTATTTATATATAATAATAAATAACTGTATCATGTTTTTTTTATGCCCTATGTATGAAGTTTTTGTGAGAAAATAAATGAAGATTATTAGTTATTGTCCATATATTGGCTAATTAATTTTGGGAATGTGTTGCTTTCGTGTTGTTAATGGGAAAGAAAATATTCAAATTATTATATCGTAAAGGTAACTATTGTGTTCTCGATAACAAAAGATTTTTCAACTTAATATTTCTATTTAGTTGCCGAATTTGATACTAAGATATTCCCAGATGCAGCAACGCAGTCGCAATAATTACTTGAAAAATAACACTATCCAAAATTCGGAAGAGGAATTCACAGTAGCAAAAGAATAACAGGAGTGAGACACTCGGAAAATGAATGATTAGCTGAATTAGCTGACCCGGCAAATGTTGTTTTGCCATATATATTATTTATAGGAAACATTTTTTAGTTCAATAAAAATAACTATCTACTATAATAAAAAATAGGGGTTGATCGTAGAGGGTTGAACATTAAGGATTGTATGTATTTTTGTATGTTGTATCATAAACTAAATAAAAACAAAAAATGTTGTCTAATAAATTAAAATTAAAATTTAGGGGTGACCACCCTTAACATTTTGGGGGATGAAAAATTGTTGTCCGATTCTCAGACTTCCTGAATATGCATAAAAAATGTCATAAGAATTGGTCGAGCCGTTTCGGAGGAGTATGGGAACGAACATTGTGACACGAGAAGTTTATATATTAGATTTACCTCACAACATTTTCCGGTACACCGCACTTCTCCGCGACAGTTTTTACAATATCGTTGACAAGTTTGGGGTCCAATTTCTGCTTGGCAGCTTTGTCGGGGAACGCGGGGGACCGATTCCCGCTTAACGAATGAGTTGCGAGAATGCTGCAATAAAAAGTAATACAAATCATCAAACACATCACATTTGAAGTGGAACTTCTTTAGGCGCATGAGGGTAAAATTTATGCTGATGAAACGCAATAATAATAATATTAGCGTCACGAAGATGTGCAGCGTTTCGTCGAAGTAAAGGGAGAGAGCGATTGAGAGAGAGTGAGAAGGGCGAATTACCTTATAAAAATTATATTTTTAAAATTAAAATAATTTATTGAAATAGACAAAAGACGTGTCACGTGTCTTTATTATAGAAGAAATAAATAAATAAAATTCAATTTATAATTTGTATTAATTTTCGACACTTAATATTTTAATGAAACTTAAATTCATCAAATTCCTGACATATCTTCCTTTTCGCCTCTCTCGTCTCGGCATTATAAAGTTTTAGATTTGTAGAAATATTAACAAAATTTAAAAATTAGTTTGCCAAAGAAGTTTCACTTCTGACATGTGTACATTGTACGCACGCACTTTTTTAAATTATAAACATTGCTTTATAATTTTTATGCACAGATTATAAGCACTTACTGGCAAGGAAATACGGCTGATAGTAGTTTCCTGGTAGCCATTGTATAGGAATCCCACTTTATGGATGTGTACATTTCCACTGGGACAGTGGCATTTCCATCGCCGATTCTTATCTATAACATTATTTCAAAATATATAGTTAAAAGTAAAATCCTTACACTAGCATAAATCTAATAAATATTATAGATATCAACGGGTCTATTCTGACATATCGATTTTACACTACTATTATTAACCAAAATAATAAAGAGAAAATGGAAATCTTGAAATATTTAATCATAATTACCACATTATTTCCAACCGGCTCTAGCGTCTCGTCACTTACACTCTGGTCTGATGATTCCTGTTGTTAAGAGATTTTATAATATTTCAAATAGTTCTCCAATCTTTCTTACAAATTTTTGAATTATTTTTATGTGAAAAATTAAAGTAATTTTCTAAGCAAAGACTAATTAATATACTTATTAATTGGCTATTGATAAATCTTATATTTTTAGTTATTCTAGTTAGATTAAACTTACTGAAGTGCAACTGCGAGTCCTTTTACGTCTCGTCGTTGGGCCCTCATCCTCCATCGTCATGGACGAACTGCTCTCGTCCACTGTCACTCTAGAAAGCCTCGCAGACATACCCAGATCTTCCGTATCCTGAAACGTATCTGGCATACCACCATTTTGAATTACAGTTAGCAGGCATCTGGTTGATGTGCTAGGGGGCTAGAAAGACTGAGTTGTCTTGTCTAATGCGACAGGTTTATTAAAAGCTGGCCAAGCGAACTAACACCTAAGAATGTATTCGATCGTTCATTTTACAATTCAATATGATTTAATCTAATATATAAAATTCTCGTGTCACAGTTTTCGTTGCCATACTCCTCCAAAACGGCTCGACCGATTCTCATGAAATTTTGTGTGCATATTGGGTATGTCTGAGAATCGGACAACATCTATTTTTCATCCCCCTAAATGTTAAGAGTAGTCCACCGCTAAATATTTTATTTTTATTTTATAGATATTTTTTTCTGTTTTTATTTTTTTATGATACAACATTAAAAAATACATACAAACCCCTAACTTTCACCCCTCTATGATCAACCCCTATTTTTTTATTATAAATGATATATATGACAAAACGACGTTTGCCCGGTCAGCTAGTAAAATATATAAAATAGAATTAAAAATATAATAATTAAAGTAAGTACTTACAAGTCTTTGGACATTGAACTCCGGTTCCTCGAAGATGTAATAAGGCTTCTGCGGCGAGTATTTCAGCGATGCCCATGTCTACATTAAAATAACAAATATGAATTTCTTCTGGACCCAGAATAGTTATTAAAAAGTCCTTGTGTTTAAAATTGTAAATCGATACTACTTCTCTCCAATCCTCCGAAGACTATTTGGTAATAAATTAATTTTTTATTTAAGTACACTGGTGGTGGCATAGTCTTCACAAATCAACAGTTTTCAAATACACTTACCACTCAAGGGAGAAAAGCTGATTGACCCCTGCAGCGCCAGCAGGGCTTGGACGGCGGCAATTTCGAAAGTTACCAGAGACATTCTACAAATATTTGTAAATTTAGGAACACTCAAAAGTATTATACGAGTACATACTGTAAGTACAATTTGAAATACTTACCTTATACCAAAAAGATTATTAAAAATACTGCATTGTTTACACAGTCAATGTTGCTTATTTAAAAGTAAAAATAAAACCGACTTCAGATACATGTTGATGAAACTTGAAGTAATCCCCAAGTTGCACTGTTTTAATCAAAATAATCTCCATCACTACGTATGTACAGGGAAATTTTTTCTTACAACTTAAGTAGATAGTTTTGTAAATTTGCTTATATTTTATACTAAAAATTATAACAGTATCTGTAAAAGAAAAAAAAACTCTATAATATGGAGAGTACTTTGGGACCTCATATAGATTAAGAATTTGTGCTTAGAACTTTTTGTGGGGTTGCTAATGTTTTTTTAGATATTTATTAACAAAAAACAATACATCTCATTTTGATAAATACATAATTGTACAGGCTCTTTGTAAATTTAAGGCCTTCTAAACATATAAAACTCGTAAATTAATTTACAAATACCGTACATTTTGATAGGATTTATCAAATAACTTTTAAAAATTATTCACTGCTAGACTAAAATAATCATTCCAATCAAAATTTTTTAAATACCATATATACAAACAATAAACTAAGCTAATTGCTTAAAATAGTCTTTGTCTCAAAATAAAGAATGAAATTTTAAGTACTTACATTAAAAAGTTAAATCACACACAAACAACTGAAATGGACACTGTGGTACTTTCGAGACCTTGTCACTCCAATAAGCTAAAAGTCACTGATCGATTTTGCAAAAATATCAAAAGCAAAAACTAAGTAAGGGGGATGATCATAGTCAAATATAGCCTCTTTTGTTCCTCCCGATCTCGTGTTTACCTGATAGAAAAGAGCGAGATGCAAGACATAATGATAACATTGTCTTTAATTCTTTGAAATTACTTAATCCCTCTCCCAATAAGCTAATTTATCAAACCCATTTTGTTCATTATTACAATTGAAAATACCGTGCAGAAGGTTTTATGACTCCATATTACATTGATGCTATTTCTGTGAATTAGGATTTATTTAACTTTGGCCGTGGAATATTTTAAATTGACGATTAGGTACTTAGATTTTATTTTTCTCGTCATATAGTATAAAAGATGAAAAAACCCAAACCAAAGCATTGCTATCATACACTAGTAAATATTTATGGCTCCTCTGCCTTACAAACATTTTGTATGACTCAAAACTTGGCGTATGAGAAGCGCGGAGAATGGCGGAAAGATTCTTGCCAGTTCTGTTTGCCCGCTCTACGCCCTTGACTTGCGAACTGGAAGTAAATGTAAATTTAGAATCAAATTAAATTTTTTTCTGTTGACGTTCATAAGTGGTTACCTATGAATAAAGTTATTTTTAGTTTTAGTTTGAATTAATTATAAAAAAAATTAATAAACTAAATATTTTATTTCGTTAATTCATTAGTCTCGTTTAATGAATTATAGGTGTAGGTATTGTTGTGTAGTTCTATCGCATTAGTAGGTAATAACTGAAAAAAATATAATTATTATGTGGGAAATATAAAATGAATAAATAAAATACAGATAACAGATTTGATTTAGCTAAGTTTTGCTATTAGATTTTTCATTTATATGCGATAGAAATAATTTCTTAGTATTAATTAAATATGCACATATTTTCTATATATTTTAACAGCTACAACAATCAAATGAGAGCATAGCTTTGGGACATCGGCAAATAAAAAAGGAGAATATGACGAAGAATAGGACTTCGATACTAAGGCTCCAGCAGACATATTTATGGCTTTTTCATCTTTAATTACTATATGACGAGAAAAAAATATCTAAGTAATTGTCAAATTAAAATATTCCACGGCCAAAGTTAAGTAAATCCTTATTCACAGAAATAGCATCAATGTAATCTGGAGTCATAAAACTTTCTGCACGGTATTATCAATTGTACTAATGAACAAAATGGTTTTGAAAAACAAGCTAAGTAATTTCAAAGAATTAAAGACAATAGTATCATTATGCCTTGCATCTCGCTCTTTTCTATCAGGAAAACACGAGATCGGGAGGAACAAAAGAGGCTATATTTGACTATGATCATCCCCCTTACTTAGTTTTTGCTTTTGATATTTTTGCAAAATCGATCAGTGACTTTTAGCTTATTGGAGTGAAAAGGTCTCGAAAGTACCTCAGTGTTCATATCAGTTGTTTGTGTGTGATTTAACTTTTTAATGTAAGTACTTAAAATTTCATTCTTTATTTTGAGACAAAGACTATTTTAAGCAATTAGCTTAGTTTATTGTTTGTATATATGGTATTTAAAAAATTTTGATTGGAATGATTATTTTAGTGTAGCAGTGAATAATTTTTAAAAGTTATTTGATAAATACTATCAAAATGTTCGGTATTTGTAATTAATTTACGAGTTTTATATGTTTAGAAGCAACTAAATCAATAAAGAGCCTATACAATTATGTATTAATCAGAAATGAGATGTATTGTATCTATTAATAAATCTCTTTAAAAACATAACCGACCCCACAAAAAGTTGAAAGCGCAAATTTTTAATAATTGTTACTTGTTTTTTAAAATTCGGATATTATGTTTTTGTATGGGATTAATTTTATTTGTTAGTTTGCCAAAGGCTAATACCATATGAGGTCCCAAAGTACTCTCCATATTATAGAGGTGTTCGTTTACAGACACTGATATAATTTTTAGTACCTATAAACTATTAGCAATTTTACAAAACCATCTACTTAAGTTGTAAGCAAAATTTTCCCTGTATTTTATAGTGTTGGAGATTGTTTTGATTAAAAAAATTCAACTTGGGAAATAGTCCAAGTTTCGTCAACATGTATTTGAACTCGGTTACATTTTTCTGTGTTACTTTTAAATAAGCGACATTGACTACATGTATAATGCAATCTATTTAATAATCTTTTCGGTATTAGGTAAGTATTTCAAATTGTACTTGCAGTATAAGCGTTTTTAAAGTATATTTTGTATGGATAATACTTGCTAAATTTACAAATATTTGTAGAATGTCTCTGGCAACTTTCGAAATCGCCGCCGTCCAAGCCCTGTTGGCAATGCAGGGGTCGATCAGATTATCTCCGTTGAGTGGTAAGTGTATTTGAAAACTGTTGATTTGTGAAGACCATGCACCACCAGTGTACTTAAATAAAAAATTAATTTATTACCAAATAGTCTTCGGAGGATTGGAGAGAAGTAGTATCTATTCACAATTTTAAACACAAGGACTTTTTAATAACTATTCTGGTTCCAGAATAAATTCATATTTGTTATTTTAATGTAGACATGGGCATCGCTGAAATACTCGCCGCAGAAGCCTTATTACACCTTCGGGGAAACGGAGTTCAATGTCCAAAGACTTGTAAGTACTTACTGAGATTATTGTATTTTTAATTCTATTTTATGTATTTTATTAGATCGTATTGAATTCTAAAATGAACGATTGAAATCAGTTCGCTGCTAAGCGGCTTAGTTTCGCATATAGTTTAGTTGTTGGTTCGCTTGACCAGCTTTTAATAAACCTATCGCATTAGACAAGACAATTCAGTCTTTCTAGCCCCCTGTCACATCCACCAGATGCCTGCTAACTGTAATTCAAAATGGTGGTATGCCAGGTATGTTTCAGGATACGGAAGATCTGGGTATGTCTGCGAGGCTTTCTAGAGTGACAGTGGACGAGAGCAGTTCGTCCATGACGATGGAGGATGAGGGCCCAACGACGAGACGTAAAAGGACTCGCAGTTGCACTTCAGTAAGTTTAATCTAACTAGAATAACTAAAAATATAAGATTTATCAATAGCCAAATAATAGGTATATCAATTAGTCTTTCCTTAGAAAATACTTTTATTTTCATAACATAAAAATGATTCAAAAATTTATAAGAAAGAAATTGGAGAACTATTTGAAATATTATTAAATCTGTTTACAACAGGAATCATCAGACCAGAGTGTAAGTGACGAGACGCTAGAGCCGGTTAGAAATAATATGGTAATTATAACCTATCAAATATTTTAAGATTTCCATTTTTTATTTATTTATTTTGGTTAGTAACAGTAGTGTAAAATCGATATGTCAGAATAGACCCATTGATATATATTAAGTAATTATTGTATTTATGCTTGAGTTAGGATTTCAATTTTAATTAAATAATTTAAAATAATGTTATAGATAAGAATCGGCTATGGAAATGCCAAAGTCCCAGTGAAAAAATACACGTCCATAAAGTGGGATTCCTATACAATGGCTACCAGGAAACTATTGACAGCCTTATTTCCTCGCCAGTAAGTACTTATAATCTATGCATAAAAACAATTGCATTAAAAGTGATGTGTTTGATGATATGCATTACTTTTTATTGCAGCATTCTGGCAACTCATTCTCTTACTGGAAAACGGTCACCAGCGTTCCCTAATAGACCGGCCAAAGAGAAATTGGACCCCAAACTTGTCAACGATATAGTAAAAACTGTCGCGGAAAAGTGCGGTGTAGCCGAAAATATTGTGAGGTAAAATTTCATTCATTCTTTACTCGTTGTTCAACTATGAAGTCCGCATCCGAAATTTGTAGTGTTATTTTTCAAGTAATTTGATAAATTAAAACCGATTTGATTTAGCTAAGTTTAATCAATAAGCAGATATTTTCTGTTTATTCTATTGTATTGTTTATTAAGTGAGGGCCAGCGGTGAATCCCCAAAAAAACCAAAATGTATTTAAATTACATACTTTAATTAATTACTAGTACAATAATTGAGACTTAACTAAATTGGCCCGATATGAGGTGCACGATCAATAATCTATATTATAGACTTATTATTAGTTGAGAATTAATAATAATAATAATCTTTATTTCTTCTCTCACATATACAAACAAGGTTATTATGATTAAACTAAGATGATAACATTAGGAAGTGTATACGTGAGAGACTGGTCTCTGTAACAGGAGACCTGAGTGACAGATAGCCAGCCTCTCCATCACCGGACCGGAACACGTACTATCAGGTCATTGTCATAAGATACAATAGAAGAAAAATGCTAAAATGCTAAAAGAAAACATTGCAAACGGAAACGAAACGTAAAAATAAATTTGGTGTATGGATGTGTGTGTGTGTGTGTGTGTGTGGCGTGTGTGTGTGTGTATGTGTGGTCGAGTAAGTGTGTTACAGAGGAACAGTTATTAAATCTTCTGTTTCATCATAACTCAACGTTTTCAGCCAAGTAGTAACCGCTTTTTACACGCTTTATATTAGCTTCACCTGTATGTATGTAACCGACTCCTTCGGACTCGATTTTGACCCACTTTAAACGGACAGATTTAATTCAAATTTTGCGCACCTGTCAAAGATCGATGACAATGCAATAATCCGAAATCAAAAATCAAAAAAATTATCTAAAAAATAAATAATAGTAAAGCACATCAAACTAAAAAGTGAAAAATAATTGCTAATTTAGGCTGAAAATGGTAATGAACAAAAAATGGTATTATTGTGAAAAAGCGTGGGTTGCTCGATAGACGAAAAATATGGCACAGAGCATAGGAATTATTTTTCACTTTTTAGTTTGATGTGCTTTAAAAGCGTGTTTTTTAGTTTTTTTAAACTATTATTTATTTACATTCATATTTAGATAGTGGGTAAATGTTAATTTTTTCATTTAATTTATTATAAAGGTATCAGCCTAGGAAACCAAAGAATCTTTGCTAGAAAGAAGTTGTCCATTGTTTTGACCGCTGAATTGACCGGTCCAATGTGAGGTATCTGATCAAAAGCTATTGGTATCTATAGTCCATTTCCTTTTTAACGGTGTTGCGTCAGAGGGGTACAGGTATTGGTTATGCGGGGCAAAGGGAGTGCAACGGATATGTAACAAGTTATAAGTACCATAATATACTATTATGTTTTCAGAACGGCTATCACCAACAAATGCGCCGATGAGGGTAAAATGATGCGTCAGCGGAAAAAGAATAAAATAGGAGATGATGAAGAATAGGTAGTTGGTAGGACAAGGGCTTGTCAGCAGTCTTCTAGATGATTGAGAAAGCAAAATCTCGACGGAAGAAAAAATAAGTATCTTTGTTTGTTTATCGAAACTGTCACAGACAATAGATTTAATATTGTGGTCGTTTTACAGATGTATCGATTTAGCTTAGATGGGATTGGTCCAGCGATTGTGGATTTCTTTCCAAGAGCACAACGAGGGCGGTAAACCGTAATTGGGAGAAAGGAAAAGAAATTCAGAAGGACTGTAGTTTTAAGGATACATTTTGTATTAAGAAATTTATAATCAAAATTTTATTATTACATTTTTTATTATTATTTGGTTGTGAACCAGCGGTCAATTATACAATTTATAAAATTAGCTTCCTTTTTATTAAACACTGAACGGCGTATCTTATTGAGTTTTTATTAATGAATCGACTTTAAATAAAAATGACGCCACGTTAAAAATAATTCTTGTATGAACACCATGTATTTAAAACATTTTCACTGCTACTCCATATGTTAAGTCTGCAAAGTACTTTAATAAGCATAAATATCGATCAAAAATTCTTGTACGTCGCGCATCTTTAAGGCAAGGCTACACGGGCGGTTCTCCCGCCGCGGGAAACCGCTCGACAAAGCTGCCGCAGACCATCAAACTACACGGGACGCGGTTTATCGCTGCCTTTTGTTCATTTCAACATGGATCCGCCAATGATAACTGCGCTTGCAGCTCTCATATTAATAGCGGGAAACCGTCCGTGTAGTTTTAAGCGTCGGTTATCAGCGGCGGTTTGACGCCTGCATGCGGCGGTCGTATTTCTCCCGCATGTGAGCCGCGACGGGAAACCGCGCAGTGTAGTGTGCAGCATACAACTTCATATTAAATTGTGTCCAGTGCGGTTCAGAAGCGGTTTTCCGCGGCGGGAGAATCGCCCGTGTAGCCTTGGCCTTATAGTGTAATTTAAAAATCTATGATTTTTATATAAATTCAGTAACAGATAATATTATTGTCTTTGATTTACATAACCTTTACACATTTAAAGAAAAAACTGTTTAACCGGATTGAAGTTATGTATTATTATAAATTTACAACTATTTAACATAATTTTAAATTTATCCGACGTTTCGCGTGCTTTACAGCGTGCGTGGTGACTACGGTTAAACAGTTTTTTCTTTAAACAGATAATATTGTTACGAGCTAGGGGATCGGATAGAAAACGCCGTAGATTTCTTCAAGGATTTATTTTCAATTAAATTAACGAGGAATTTGTTTACACTAAAAAACCGGAAATTACGCACAGAAATTCACTGATTACACAAACCCAAAATACTGTCACAATTTACTTTAATTACACGCACTTCACACAGTACTTTATCACTTGTCTTCACTATATTCGCACTTTATCTCTTCGGTGTTTATCTCTTTATATCGCATTCGAAACTGAACTAATCGGTCGCGTTTCGGCTCGCTTATAATATATCCCTGGGAATAGTCTTGAACGATGTTCGAAAACTCTCTAGGCGGGAGCGCTACTGAGTAGCGATCGCACAATTCTAGAACGTGCGTACTCGCTATCTCTCTCGCACATTGCTCCGTCCTTGTCGTACGGTGATCTAGAGTGCTCGGTCTAGCTTCGAGAAGGTTCTGATCTTCCCTCTCTTTCGCATATCATACTGTCGCTTGTCTCACACCTTGAAAATTAGTTCTAGAATATTCCTTCATCAAAGGGGTATAACCAGACCTGAAAACGGGTTTCCTGAAAAGTGTCCCATCCGACTACACCTGCTCTGAAACTGCCTGAAAAATGTTTCAGCCTCCTGAAAACTAGGGTAACATTATGTAAATTACAATTTTCTAATATGTGATTGACCCTCTCCTGAAACGGTCAGAAATCATATTTCAGCCTGCTGAAAAGTTTTCTAAGTAGTGGAAAAATCTAGAAACATTGTCAACCCGTCTTCGTAACAATATATTAAGGAATTATTAGTTTTAATTAGGAAATTTAGTATTAGGATTGTAGTTTTAGTTTTTTTTCGTCATTAAGTGTCTCAATGTGTTTTAACGGGCGCTTTGGTTTTTTTCTTTTTTGTTTTTTTATAAAACAGGGGGCAAACGGGCAATAGGCTCGCCTGATGTTAAGTAATACCGCCACCCATGGACACTCAATGCCAGAGGGCTCGCGAGTGCGTTGCCGGCTTTTTAAGAATTGGTACGCTCTTTTCTTGAAGGACCCTAAGTCGAATTGGTTCGGAAATACTTCAGTGGCTGGTGCGCGGCAAAAACTGCCTTGAAAAACGCTCAGTTGTGAAACGGCGAACGTCGAGGTGATACGGATGGAATTTCGTATTTGCCTCGACGTCCGATGATGAAACTCAGCTGCAGGTATTAATCCGAACAACTCTGAACACTCTCCATGCTAAATGCGGTATCTAGAATAATCAAAAACCTTCAAATACGAAAAAAAAAATCTTGTGTAGTGTTATTACTGAATTTTCATGTAATTTTAGAATTTGTATTTAATTAAAATCACATCGTTCTTTGACAGCAAACGAATATACAATAAGTAAGGTTTACCACACGGATCCTATTCTTACGATGTGTTCTTATTTCAATTTAGTTCCAAAACCAGGAACGTGATATACAATAGCAAAAAAAAACGTGTGGCACTCGGGGACTGCCGCGGTAAAACTATTGCATAGCATTTTTTATCAATTTATGCAATTATAATTATTTATTTATGCAGTATTTTTTTTCTTTGGTATTAATTTATTCTACCACTCTACCAGACTCAGACTAACACGCCTATATAGTCTGTCTCACTCTACGCACCTGCGCTACGGCACCGATCACGCCAGACCGATGTGAGACGCAGTATGCGTTGTCCCGCTCTAACGCGTATTGGCCGCACCTATATCACGTCATCGTGTGTTAGGTTTATTTCGTTACGGAATTTCTTGATTCGGTCTCCGCGCTCAAAGCCCGCGATAAAATCTATGCAATACCTTAAAAACATTATTTGACTAACTACTGTTTTGCTTAAAAACTCTTGAATTTTAGTCTATCTATATATATATAATGAAAATGGTCTTCGTTTGAGGCTCCTTCACGCCTAAACCACAGATCGTATCGACATGAAACTACCACCATTCGATGCGAAATTTTTCCTAGATGGTGGATATTTATTAAATTTCAACGTTCCTTCATTTTTTATTGCTGTTTTACTTTTATGAAAATTTATCCATACGGACTTCACCGCGGAAACATTCGGGGAGGCTTCCTAGAACCTCTAAACGTCAACATCTGTTAAAAACTCGATTTTCGAAATATTTCAATTTTCTTAGCGGGAAGTTAAAAAGAAGAATACTAAAAATATGAAAAAAAATAAAATAATGAAACATAAAATTTATTTTAATTCGTCCAGCAAAGCGGGCGCGAAACGGCTAGTACTATATAAGATTTCATTTTAATAGATATAAAAAATAGGTTTGTTTATTCAATAGGGTTTGAAGTGACATTTCTTATTCAGCAGCGTACTGACTGAGCGAGCAGCCTCGCGAAGCAGCCTCGGAAGTTTGCTTCGCAACGTTTGCCGCGCGAGGCAGCCTCGGTCTGTAAGTTTTCTAATCCGAGGCTGCCTCGCGCGGCAAGTCCGAGCCATCGTGAGCATCGACGCTCAGTTTAACTTGAAGTCGAATAGAGACCGCGCGTGCCCGTATAGTTTGCCCGAGACCACCATGAGGCCGCACATTCGGAAAGCTGTCGCTACCACTGCCTTTTAATAATTCTAAGGCTTGCAAAAAAAGAAAACAGAAAACTAAACGTTTTTGGATTAAACTCTTATACAAAAATAGATTACAGGCTGGGAACAGATTATTTGAAGAGTTGTGCTTCGATGACGAAGAAAAAAATTTCACTCGAATGAGTAAAATCGAATTTGACAATGTGTATTCTCTCATAAACGCCAAAATAAGCAAGAAGGACACAAATTTTCGAGAAGCAATATCCGCTAGGGAAAGATTATTAGTGACGTTGAGATTTTTGGCCACAGGAGATTCTTATACCAGTCTACAGTATCTATTTCGTATATCAAAACAAAGGATATCGGTTATAGTTCCTGAAGTCTGTGATGCTATAATTGAGGTGTTAAAGGATTATGTTAAGGTAAAATAAAATTACATATTTTTATTATTTTTTTATTAATCTGATTAGAAAATTGGACAAATAATATAAGAAAATTAAACAAACAAATATTTAATGATGAGGAGCTGGAGAAGGAGGAGGGGGAGGCATCGAAATTGGTGAGATAGGAGGCATTGGTGAGGCAGCAGGCATCGGTGAAGTAGAAGGCATCGATGAGGCAGGAGGCATCGGTGAAGTAGGAGGCATCGGTGAAGTAGGAGGCATCGGTGAGGTAGAAGGCATTGGTGAGGCAGCAGGCATCGAATATGTAGATGGCGTCGATGAGGAAGAGGGATGAGACATATATCTTAAATTATCGTGTTCACCATATGATTGAGTATAATAACTATAACCACTGTATGCTCCCATGTCTGCATCAAAGATAATTTTATTTATTGCATTTTTTACGTATGCTAATGTAATTTTATCATACTTTCTCAACTCATTTCCTATATATTGGCCATACACATTATAGGGATCATTTTTTTCTGATATATTATCGCTTCCACACTGTTGTAAGAGTGTTAATGCTTCAGATATGGCGTTATCAGTAAGATCATCACTTTCGTTCATTTTGGATCTCTTTTTAGGTCTAGTTGACTTTTGTTTAGGTCCTTCCGTTGTCGTCGAGTTTGAAGTTTCATTTTTTTCTTCGTTATAACCGTCATCATTTCGAGTATTATCCAGACTTGCATTCTGTAAAGATAGAAATTATTACTTAATTTTATTTACAGATACCATCATCCGAAGAAGAGTGGCTTACCATAGCGAAAGAGTTTGAGAGCAAATGGAATTTCCCACATGTCATAGGAGCAATGGATGGGAAG